GAGAGTAAATTATAAAAGAAGCTTTAGATGGAATTTCCACTAAAAATGGTTTTTAATTATTAAACCGCAACAGAATGGATTTCTTGTTTAATGTTTTCCAAAAAAGAGGCGAATTTCAGACTTTAGTCGGATTTTAGAAAACTCTCTGGTCATGTGTGTCTAAGCAAGTTTCGATTGGTATACCCACACTGATTGTTCAGGCGGTCTTGTTGCTCATGTATGTAAATAACTGGTAATTTCACTAAGATGCAGTAACCACAGTGATTGCCCAAGCAGTTTTGAAGCTTTTGGCATAATCAAATTTACGCTGCTGAGTACACACACTTTTTTCTTTCCTCAAAATAAGCTTTCAGTTTAGGAACCCGCGTGCATCACTTACATTTACTTACTTATCTTGCTTCAAGCATTGCTCCAGAGCTTACTGATGCTTGATTGCTTGAGAAACTTAGGATCCCGCCAGAATTTCTTATAACCAGTTCCGTAGTTGCCCAAAGATATTTACTATCCATTAATTTAGTTTTCTTTTGCCAAGCATAATTTTTTTACGGACACTGTTTCCCTAAAGCGCCACGGTTCCTGTGACGTCTCGTGCGCTTTGTTCGACCCATAAAAATCTATTTTAGTTCCGTGTCAGATCGTACCAACATCCGCAGTAGGTCTCCAAGGTGCTTTAGTTATGCAAAAATTTCTTCCTTATCCTGGCGAGTTTCCAATTCATCACTCAACCTTGTATGCAGCTAATGTTGCTGAAGCATAAAATTAGGCCGCTGAATTGACTCAGACTCTGTCGCCATATGAAACTACGTCAATTATCGAACTAAATGGAAACGATATGCTATGTAATTAGGCTAAACTGCTTGAATATTAGTTCCAGAAATGGAGCACATAAAATGGAGCAGTTGACAGGAAATGCTGATTGTGGAGGAGCAACAGCGAATTAATTTAGCATCCCTCGGACTGGACGATAATCTGGAGATTCAATGGGGTTACCTGTCGCTGGCCGTGGTACCAGTGATTTGTGTGCTTGGTAATTGCATGGTCATTGCAGCTGTGTGGCGTACAAAGGTCCTCCAGACGCCAACAAACTACTTGCTGGTGAGCCTGGCAGTGGCCGACCTTGTCATCGGCCTTTTTGCCATGCCTTTCAGCATCTACCTCTCCGTAAGTCTCCTCATTCTATTTGACTAGTGACATTTTGTCAGTCTTGAGCAATCAGTTCCGGCAAAAGAAGAAAATTATAAAAGCGCTTGTTTTTTGTAATGCACCACTGAATCCGATAAATCCCACAAATTACCCCCGATTAAGCCTGTCCCTAATTAATCTTGTCTGCTTGATTACTGCTCTTGTCAAAAACAAGTTGCAAAGTGAGAAGAAACAGTGCAAAACAGCAAAATGGGAAAAAGTGAGAAACAAAGTTAATGGATCTAAATACACCACATGTAAAGATGGATATTAGTGAAGAGCGGTGCATGTTTCATTCCTTAGCTGTAAACACAGACTTTAAATGCTGCATATTTGCTCTGAAGTTCTGATAAGGAGAGAAAAAAGAATCTGTCAATATGCAACAAGCTATTTTTCATTTTAAAAAAAATCTTACTTCAAAAGTTAAAATA